TAGTAACCGATTTTGGATTTTCGACATCAGTGACCGATTTGCGACTTTGGACATTACTGCCCGGATTGAGATTTTGGATATTAGTGCGGCCCGATTTAAGAGTTTTGACCCTTCTTGCCCGCGATTCGAGATTTTGAATCCTTGTGATCGTTTTGAAATTTTTGACACTTGTGGCGGATTTGAGATTTTTGGACACTTTTGTGGAGTTTGGATTTGTGTTTGCCGACTTTGGATTTTAGACACTTGTGGCTGAGTTAAGATTTTGGACGCTAATGGCCGATTTTGGATTTCGGACACTGGTGGCCGATTTAAGATTTTGGACAACAGTGGCCGATTTTTTTTGGCAGATTTTCTTTTTTTCTAATATATGTTGTTTGTACTTAATATAAATTTTTGAGTATCTCGAAAGCTTTGAGTTTGTAATGGATTCAAAAAAAGAGGCGTGACATCACCACTGTGTTTATATACTCTCATAGAAACTGGCTGATCGACCAATGAGAGCGCGGTTAACATATCACTTATTTTATAAAATTTCGTATTTCAACAAAACCTTTGTACTGACAAAATGTAAACTAATACGAGCACCTTCTGATTATAAATCTGCGTTTTGTTCCAATTTACGGACGAGATCTTTACCTCGTGCTAAATCGAGTTAATTATTGACGTCGCTTCTCGTAAACTTTCATTTCTTTGCTTTCAAACAGACGGAATTTCGAAGATATTGGGCACCTACCACCCTGATACCGATAAAATCGTGTTGGATGGTGCTCAAGTGTTATGGAAAGGTATGCTTAGGTAACATCATTCATATGAGTAAGTAAACAAACCTTTGATCTTTAAGAACTGGAGCCAATTAAAAGCCGACTCGTTAAGGCAGCATGTGTACTGTTCGATACCTGGCTTCTTTTCTTGAGACAATGATATGTGCGATTTTGGTGTCAATATCCTTCAAAGTTCCGAAAATATCTTACGACTTCCGAACATAGACGAATATTGCCGAAGATTTTTCGATAAATTATGAAGGTTAATATGATTTTCGTAATGAAAAATTAAATGAAGACTGGGGCTTTTCTTAGAAAAATGAAACGAACGTAAAACAAAAAGATTTTCCACTACTTCCAAATTCCAGCCATGTCCATTCTTTTTTCTTCAGCCTCATGTAATCGCACACTTGTAAAACAGGTTTTGAGGAAAGGAGATATTTCTGTCGTGAAAAATAACCCCCATATTCCGTGACAGTATTCCTCTACTTCTCGTCTTTGAACGTTAAGGTGGCGCTCCTCCAACTGATGGCAAAGTTACCATTTATGAGATACAGCACGTTTCTACGCCACTGTTTTGTGTCATCGTTATTTTGACCAGCGGAGGCATTTTATTGGCGGCGTACTTCCTGCGATTCAATTTTGTTCGACGAATGCAACGGTAAGTTAGGGAAGCTACATAATATATGATTCGTGAATGGATGTTTTGTGTATGTCCGATAATGAAGACATTGAATGGTAATATTCCTGCTCCGCTACACGCCATATGCGACATATTTTTTACTAAGTTAGGTTTTCGTTTTTTCCTTCAGCCATATCAAGTTATCAAGTCCAAACCTTAACAACGTGATAATCTTAGGATGTGTATTGATCTACATATCTGTTTATATGATCGCCATCGATGGTAAATTGGCGGACACCAGCACACTAACGGGCCTGTGCAGGGTAAGTTTATCTGAGCAAATATTCTCCTATACACAAGTCTAAAGAGTTTTATCTATATCAGCTGGGGGCTCAGTATAGTAGTATACATAGCCTCTTTCCGTCTAGCCAATAGTATCAATTGGTACTAGGAATCTGATGTAGAAACTTTAAGCCAACCTCGGAGGATATGAATACTTTCGGTTGCTTTGAGCTAAGGAAACCAGGATGACCTCCAGGTGTAGTAAGTCATAAGTCTTGTCGGAATTTAGTGCAAAGTTCTTGTTGATGCAATCACCTTACCAGCTAAGGAATTTCCTTGTCATTTCAGGCTCGAGGTTTTCTCTTGTCCGTTGGTTATAGTCTAGCGGTTGGTGCAATGTTCTCAAAGCTGTGGCGAGTGTATCAGATTTACAGCAACTTTAGACCTAAAGAAAAGGTAAATTTCGACAATCTTCACCATACCAAAACTCTGACCAAGAAAATAACGTGACCAATCACAAAAAATGTACGTAACGCAATGGACCAATTACAATTTAGAGAAACTGCACGTGACCGTCGCCAAGGGCGGGAAAACGTACGTACCCAAGACGAGATTGCGTTTGCATTTACCTCTGATTGGTTTAATGGGGCTTAAGATAGTGAAAAATAGCGAAAATTAAAGTGAGAAAAAAAGATTTGGCTTTGGGATTCAGCTCAAAATTACTATGTTATACAAGTCCTTCCTGTACTTACCACAAGCAGCAATGTCATCTTAAAAGAACCGTGCGCTAGGAGTGCATAAGCGGCAAACATTGCCAGGGAGGATCGTCTCATGAAAATTGAACTCTTGCTCTGGACGTGGCTATGAGACCTTTGTCCATAATTTCCACAATCTTTGCTTCCTCAGACACTCAAGTATAAGGAACTTATTTGTTTCATGGTAGTTCTGGTACTGATTGACATAGTTGTAATGTCTCTGTGGATTGGAGTGGATACACCTGAGATTGTTACAACTGACATACAGTCGCAGGTTAGTCAGTCGGGTTAAAGCGATCAAAGTACAATTTCTATTTGATGTTTCATGGCACAGTCACGTGAAAGGGTCGTGGGAATATAGATCAAGAACTTCCGACTTTCGGCCAATTGCCGACCATTCTCGATCGACTATTGATCGACTTTTTAAAGTATATTCGCCACATGCCACAACCTTCAAAAATATATTAACATACCTGTTTCTTTTCAGATTAAGGAAGAACCTCATTTTAGAATTATACCACAGGAGCAATACTGTACTTCCAGATACTTCACCACTTGGTTATACATTCTGCTCGGCTACAAAGCTCTCTTATTGGTGATTGGATGCTTAATCGCATGGGTCACACGTGAGGCAAAAGTCCGCCTGCTCAATGACTCGCGTTACGTGTGCATGAGTGTGTATAATATAATACCTTGCGCTCTGGTGGGTATACCGCTGGCCTTCCTGATTGATGGTCACATTAACGCGCTTGTGGCGTGTGTCTCGTTTTTTCTGCTCCTTCCTACAACAGTGACACTTTGTTTGCTTTTTGTACCGAAGGTGAGCAAGAAACGAGTTTTTCGCAGATAGTCTCAGAATAATTTCTGTTATTTGCGTGCTTTTTGTTTCTTCACTCTTCCTTAAAATTTTCATTCGTACGACGCACTCGCCGAAAAGGAAAGATTGCTTGTGGTCTAGGGGGGAACTTATTTTCCGCAAGCTTTTCTTTTGATGAGTAAGACCTACCAACGACAAAAACAGACACGATGACATAACAAACGTTATAACTTATCAGTCGAAATATTGATAAATGACAAATATAAAATATAAAGGGCCAACTAGAGGGGGTTGGGATATTTAATAATTTTTTGGCGTATAGGAATCCTTTTTCTGGTAATAATGGCTGAATTCTGATTGTTTTGTGACTACCTACTCAAGACGTTTCCTGCCTACAGAGGTCAACGAGTGAAAAAGGTAAAGAAAGTTTCTCAACACTTAAATATAAAACGTTTTTGTTCCTGTTGTAGATTTTGAAGCTCAAAAAGAATGCGGAGGAGCAATTTCGGATATCTGCTCTACAATGTCCTACACGAAACGTAATGGAAGTAAACTACGATTCGCTTGATTCATCTCATTCCGTCAATGATCCCAGTGCGGATTCAAAACTTCAGGAAGAGATAGCCACGCTCAAGAAAGAAATACGTGCAATTAAACTTAAACACGGAGAAAATGCAATTCCAAACCTGTCGGTTAGAATCGCCGACCCCGTTGAAAATGGTCGGGAGGGGAAAT